CCAATGGTGCATGATTCTCCCACAAATGCGTATTTCGACCAAATTATTGATTTCAAAATTTCCCATGAGGGCCATTGTGGGTAAAATGGCTAAATAAGGCTTTTGAGAACAATGTCATAGCTTGATTTTGATTGTGAAGGGCTGCACTAAAACTGATTTCTTGCTCATGATATTCAACTCCGAAGAAACAATCAAGTTAGAAACAAATCTAAAACATGCATTTGCAATCAAACCAGTCGTCGCACTCCACGAGACACAGGTATATTCAGCGCAAAGAAAGTATGAGACCATGGACCTACATGTTTAGCCTTCTCCGGCTTAGTGAGGACACGCGCAGTGAAATCTTTTCTCTACCGTGCCGGTGCCGGCTAGCTCTTCTTCTTTCGGCCGTTTTTTTGTTTTGTTGTTTATCGAACTCGTCCTGCAACGCTTTGGCGAGGTCGTCGAATGTTGCCCCTGTGTTGCTGAGAGTGGGCACGAGTTGCTGGATGTCGTCTCCTCCCAGGTACTGGAGTAGCCCACGCTGTTGGTCGTCATCGCTAATTTTGGACGCAGCAAGATAAAGTTTGAAACTCCATGTCCAGGCGGGCCAGCGCATGGCGGCATCGTAGAGGGAGACATATATTGGAAAAGGTCCAGGGGGCGGAATGGCGGGTGGTCGGTCACGCGCGGGAAACGGCACATGCTAAAAGCATAACAAATCACGATGTACTACTACTACTACATGCATCATGAATGTCTGGAGTGGCCAAGGAATGCCACAGCGCGTAGGTACACGTGAACACTACAGGTGCCTTCATTGGCTTCAAAGCTTTAATCACCGCCGACCATGTTGCTCCATCGGGTGATAATGGCCGCGTTTCTGATGGCACTTAGCACACTTGTCATAATCCTAGCATAAGGAGGCACAAACACGTACAAAACACAAACACGTACAAAACAACAATCAGATACAGAATGGAGGCAGATCTGGACACTACTGGCGAGTAGAGAACCTGCAATCTGCAGGTGTTGCATGTTGTACAGAAGAAGCTACAGTCATGTGGATTAAAAATTCTGTCGTGTACCTCTATGTACAGTCTACTCTAGAAGAACTAAGAGAACTTGAGACAACAAATACAAACAAAATCTGGAAACACACAGTGGCCAATATGAATATGCAAACTTACGTCACACACTGGGCAATGGAAACGACTTCCAATAATTTCAGCCATGCAGGTATTGCAGCGGTAGCCGATTACATTGACTGGCTTTGCAGCTCGATGAGCATGCACAGTGTAGCGTACTGCGCGTGCCGCAAAGTTGTAAACTCGAGATGATTCTTACGAAAGTACGCAAGAATTGAATCCCGACTCTCCATCACATTGCCGCTTTGCTGCTCGGCCACATCCTCCTGCATGGGTTTAAGGTTGGCAACCTTTTCTGAAGAAATCAGCGTGATGGTGAAGAATGCCTGGCCAAAAGGAACAAGAATAAAGGTAATGTAAGGAAAATTTGGCAGCAACGAATACAAGAAATCAGCGTAGGCGATAATACCAGCAACACCCAAGGAGCTAGTAAGGCCGTCATCACACTACATTCTCTGGCTTCCCCTTACGTCTGCGTCCACAGTGAAAAATCCAAAACGGGTAGTCGTGTCATCAAACAGGCACAGTTCTTGACCAGTACACGCGGTCATGTTTTGGAGAAATTTGAAGATTCCCACGTACAAGGTCGCTTTTAAACAGACTGTGGGAGATACACCCTTTTATACAAAAAAGTGGCCCACTCCCGCTGGCTACCACGTCTACGTTTCCCGTTTCTTCTGCTCCCGCTTTCACTCCGTACATGGATCATCATGACAACCGACCAAAACTTTATGTGGATGTAGACACAGCACTTTGTACCGTAGTGTGATGACAGCGTAACAGCTGGGGCATAAACTAAGATACTAGTAGAAGGTTCAACAAGAAATGGTTTCACTGAAAGAGTAACACCCAAAGGCAATAATTTTACAAACTAGTACCATTATGAACTTAGAAGTTGCGACTTCGGCGGTACTAGTGATGAAATTGGTTGCTCCAACGAGGAGCACAAACTTCTTGCCGAACTTGACACACTGTGTATTGAGCAGGCAGTGGTGCTTTCTTTCAGGTTTGCCGAGCGGAAGGTGCTACGTGCTTCTCGTGTGCTCCGGATGGCAATCGTGAGTCACTCAAGTGTCTAGGTCGGCAAGAAGCGTGTGCTCCTCGTTGGAGCAACCAACTTTAGTACCATTATGACACACCAATATACTCTACAAAAAATAAGTCACTTTCAAACATCGAATGTTACGTGCGGAAACTCATTTTAATATTCAGATTCAAGGGCATACGTTTTCGATAGCCACCTCGCATAATCAAAGGACGACAGAAAACGTGTCGTAATTTGCAATCACCTGTGTCCCACAGATGAAGCTCTATGTGCTGATGGGCTTACAGTGTGTACGTCGCAAACTTGCCTCACTTATTCCAGGCTTGCCCTGTAAGTAGAGAGAGTATTGCTACAACCTAAACTGTAGGACTGAAATGAACACAATTTCTCAGCAATCGAACATTCTTGACTCTAACGAACGAACGAACGAACGAACGAACAAATGTTCTTGATTGATAATTCATGCAAATCGTCAGAGTTCTGACAAGGGCATGAATACCCCGCCTCATCATACAGGCAAAAAAGTATACTTCAGGGAGGAAACCAACGCCATTGACATAAAACCTTCAGCGACCTTGCTTCGCTCTCCGTTGGAAGCAACATCGCCCCAGAAACGCTGTCAGATGGCTCCGTAAGGTTGCACGCTGATTGTAATAAAACATTTGTGTCGAGCATATTGGGAAAAAAATTTCAGTTCTAATATTCGTTACCTCACAAATGTTCATTCTGCAAAGCTAAATTAACGAATATTTGAATAGTCGAGATTTCAGCCCTATCCTAAAGCATGTCTCATGCACGGCTTTCCTTTCCCAACGGTGCATGATTTTCCCACAATTGCGTATTTTGACCAAATTATTGATTATACAATTTCCCATGTGGGCCATTTGTGGGTAAAATGGCTAAATAAGGCTTTTGAGAAGAATATCATAACTTGTCAGCTTGATTTTGATTGTGAAGGGCTGCACTAAAACTGATTTCTTGCTCATGATATTCAACTCCGAAGAAACAATCAAGTTAGAAACAAATCTAAAACATGCATTTGAAATCAAACCAGTCGTCGCACACCACGAGACACAGGTATACGCAATGCAAAGAAAGAATGAAACCATGGACCTACACTTTTATCCTTCTCCAGCCGGGTCAGGACACGCGCAGCGAAATCTTTTCTCTTCCGTGCCGATGCCGGCTTGCTCTTCTTCTTTCGGCCGTGCTGCGGCTGGGAGCATCCCTTCTTGCCATTCTTCTGCTTGACATCATAGCAATACAGGCACACAACAACAGATCACGGTCATCATACCCCTCACACACCTGGCCAATAAAAAAATCCCTCCACATTAATCACTGCATTCTCAATCAAATATTGTCTAGTTTTCCTTTCTTTTCCTTTTCACTTATCTCGTTATCAGCCCACTTAATAGTTGTGTATATCACTGTTGAGGCATCCTATGGTAAGAAAAATAAATACTACTACTAGTCGTTGACAAGTGACGCTCTACGGCTTCAGGAAGGCATTGGCTTATGAAATAAAGCTCTCACTACTTGGCGGGGGATTGGCATACGGCAAGCTTTAAGCGAGTGTATGGTTTGTCTTCTTCCCACACTGAGAACACCTAAGGTATCTTCCCAGTTCCAGAGCAGCGTAGCGCCCCTTGCTATGTTATTTACAAGGTAATATTTCAATGGCCAATATTTTAGAATCACTACTGTATCCTTAATGATAGCTTGCATACCGTCCTACCGGTAGGACTTGTGGTCCTACCGGTAGGACTTGTGGTCCTACCGGTAGGACCCAAGAAATCGAGCTGCAAAAGTGCTTTTGGTTGAGAAATTTTTGAAACAATTTTTGAGATGAGGTCTTTGTCAGGCAAAGTAATGGCGCAAAATGCAAGATTATGTCTAGTGCACTGCGTATGCGCAATTTTATCGATTGTCAAAATGGCCGCACATAATCCTGTCGGTGCGCTAGCAACTCTGTCCAAAGTGAATTTTGACCATGGCACATCAATTGTGGTGAGGTCCTAATGTTTTTATCAGCTTGCCAAGGCCGTGGAATGCATAATACCATACTCCGTTTCCATGGTTACCATGGGTTGTTACCATGGAATTTCGTAGTATGCCTTGTGCGATCACGTCTAAAATTTGTGGATTCCTTCATTAGCCCCTTAGCAACAGTTTAGGGTCAACTTTTAGGTCAATGTTAGAACAGAGGCCATGCAGCATGTCTGTGTATGATGGTCCTACCGGTAGGTCCTACCGGTAGGACCGAGGTCTATGCAAGCTATCATTAATGGAAGTATTGATCCTCAGGCATTCTCCTCCTAATCTAGTCCTAACCTTTAAGATTTGATCAAGATGAAAGAACGTTGAGTAATAATACAAAGAAGTTGCAGTGCAGAGCAGTGCAATTTGAGGAATAGCTGTCATCACATTGTTGTTTTGCATAACATAAGAAACGGATTTTTTAGTAACAAATTCGGCGATAATTATATGAAAGTTCGTTGCTCTCAATGTTCGAGCTTGCACCTTACCCACTTTTCTGTAATAACATAATGAGTCCGCTGAACGGAAAAGTGGGAAAGGTGCAAGTTCGAACATTGAGAGCAACGAACTTTCTTATAACTATCGCCGAATTTGTCACCTTCATCCCATGCACTCCATCATCTCAGCGGCATTGAAAAAAGACAAATTGCCAACAACCATAAGACGAACAGCGGCTGGTGCCCAAATGCCATCCAACCGGTGGTAAAATGTTTGATATGGAGTTGAATTCGAGAGAGAGATGTGAACCATCAGTCCTGCTCTACACAGAAGATAATGCATACCTCGGCCTCAGCTGCGATCTTCTCCGCTTTTTCCTCCTGGGCGATCTTCTCAAACACTTTAGGCCAGTAATCACCCTCAAAGTATGACATACCGGTCGGTACGCTGACTTGATCTTGAAGTGTGGACTGGTGAATATCCTGAAAGATCAAAAAAGTGAGAAAGGATAAACAACATTAGATTGCCAGTATAACAATAGGGATCAAACGGCTACGGTTTTCACCTTAATGGTTAACTGCTACGCTAACAGTCGATTTATCGGAGTACAACCTATAAGCTAGAGCAGTACGGCGTGTAGCTAGTTTGAACAGTATAGTACAATATCCTTGTTTGAAATGTACCGTGCGAAATTACTACTAATACATGCAAATGTCTGCATGCTCATTCACATAGATTCACAGACCAGAAGCACACTTGTCATAATCCTAGCATAAGGAGGCACAAACACGTACAAAACACAAACACGTACAAAACAACAATCAGATACAGAATGGAGGCAGATCTGGACACTACTGGTGAGTAAAGAACCTGCAATCTGCAGGTGTTGCATGTTGTACAGAAGAAGCTACAGTCATGTGGATTAAAAATTCTGTCGTGTACCTCTATGTACAGTCTACTCTAGAAGAACTAAGAGAACTTGAGACAACAAATACAAACAAAATCTGGAAACACACAGTGGCCAATATGAATATGCAAACTTACGTCACACACTGGGCAATGGAAACGACTTCCAATAATTTCAGCCATGCAGGTATTGCAGCGGTAGCCGATTACATTGACTGGCTTTGCAGCTCGACGAGCATGCACAGTGTAGCGTACTGCGCGTGCCGCAAAGTTGTAAACTCGAGATGATTCTTACGAAAGTACGCAAGAATTGAATCCCGACTCTCCATCACATGGCCGCTTTGCTGCTCGGCCACATCCTCCGGCATGGGTTTAAGGTTGGCAACCTTTTCTGAAGAAATCAGCGTGATGGTGAAGAATGCCTGGCCAAAAGGAACAAGAATAAAGGTAATGTAAGGAAAATTTGGCAGCAACGAATACAAGAAATCAGCGTAGGCGATAATACCAGCAACACCCAAGGAGCTAGTAAGGCCGTCATCACACTTCATTCTCTGGCTTCCCCTTACGTCTGCGTCCACAGTGAAAAATCCAAAACGGGTAGTCGTGTCATCAAACAGGCACAGTTCTTGACCAGTACACGCGGTCATGTTTTGGAGAAATTTGAAGATTCCCACGTACAAGGTCGCTTTTAAACAGACTGTGGGAGATACACCCCTTTATACAAAAAAAGTGGCCCACTCCCGCTGGCTACCACGTCTACGTTTCCCGTTTCTTCTGCTCCCGCTTTCACTCCGTACATGGATCATCATGACAACCGACCAAAACTTTATGTGGATGTAGACACAGCGCTTTGTACCGTAGTGTGATGACAGCGTAACAGCTGGGGCATAAACTAAGATACTAGTAGAAGGTTCAACAAGAAATGGTTTCACTGAAAGAGTAACACCCGAAGGCAATAATTTTACAAACTAGTACCATTATGAACTTAGAAGTTGCGACTTCGGCGGTACTAGTGATGAAATTGGTTGCTCCAACGAGGAGCACAAACTTCTTGCCGAACTTGACACACTGTGTATTGAGCAGGCAGTGGTGCTTTCTTTCAGGTTTGCCGAGCGGAAGGTGCTACGTGCTTCTCGTGTGCTCCGGATGGCAATCGTGAGTCACTCAAGTGTCTAGGTCGGCAAGAAGCGTGTGCTCCTCGTTGGAGCAACCAACTTTAGTACCATTATGACACACCAATATACTCTACAAAAAATAAGTCACTTTCAAACATCGAATGTTACGTGCGGAAATTCATTTTAATATTCAGATACAAGGGCATACGTTTTCGATAGCCACCTCGCATAATCAAAGGACGACAGAAAACGTGTCGTAATTTGCAATCACCTGTGTCCCACAGATGAAGCTCTATGTGCTGATGGGCTTACAGTGTGTACGTCGCAAACTTGCCTCACTTATTCCAGGCTTGCCCTGTAAGTAGAGAGAGTATTGCTACAACCTAAACTGTAGGACTGAAACGAACACAATTTCTCAACATTCTTGACTCTAACGAACGAACGAACGAACGAACAAATGTTCTTGATTGATAATTCATGCAAATCGTCAGAGTTCTGACAAGGGCATGAATACCCCGCCTCATCATACAGGCAAAAAAGTATACTTCAGGGAGGAAACCAACGCCATTGACATAAAAACCTTCAGCGACCTTGCTTCCCTCTCCGTTGAGAGCAACATCGCCCCAGAAACGCTGTCAGATGGCTCCGTAAGGTTGCACGCTGATTGTAATAAAACATTTGTGTCGAGCATATTGGGAAAAATATTTCAGTTCAAATATTCGTTACCTCACAAATGTTCATTCTGCAAAGCTAAATTAACGAATATTTGAATAGTCGAGATACTCATTTCAGCCCTATCCTAAAGCATGTCTCATGCACGGCTTTCCTTTCCCAACGGTGCATGATTTTCCCACAATTGCGTATTTTGACCAAATTATTGATTATACAATTTCCCATGTGGGCCATTTGTGGGTAAAATGGCTAAATAAGGCTTTTGAGAAGAATATCATAACTTGTCAGCTTGATTTTGATTGTGAAGGGCTGCACTAAAACTGATTTCTTGCTCATGATATTCAACTCCGAAGAAACAATCAAGTTAGAAACAAATCTAAAACATGCATTTGAAATCAAACCAGTCGTCGCACACCACGAGACACAGGTATACGCAATGCAAAGAAAGAATGAAACCATGGACCTACACTTTTATCCTTCTCCAGCCGGGTCAGGACACGCGCAGCGAAATCTTTTCTCTTCCGTGCCGGTGCCGGCTTGCTCTTCTTCTTTCGGCCGTGCTGCGGCTGGCAGCATCCCTTCTTGCCATTCTTCTGCTTGACATCATAGCAATACAGGCACACAACAACAGATCACGGTCATCATACCCCTCACACACCTGGCCAATAAAAAAATCCATCCACATTAATCACTGCATTCTCAATCAAATATTGTCTAGTTTTCCTTTCTTTTCCTTTTCACTTATCTCGTTATCAGCCCACTTAATAGTTGTGTATATCACTGTTGAGGCATCCTATGGTAAGAAAAATAAATACTACTACTAGTCGTTGACAAGTGACGCTCTACGGCTTCAGGAAGGCATTGGCTTATGAAATAAAGCTCTCACTACTTGGCGGGGGATTGGCATACGGCAAGCTTTAAGCGAGTGTATGGTTTGTCTTCTTCCCACACTGAGAACACCTAAGGTATCTTCCCAGTTCCAGAGCAGCGTAGCGCCCCTTGCTATGTTATTTACAAGGTAATATTTCAATGGCCAATATTTTAGAATCACTACTGTATCCTTAATGGAAGTATTGATCCTCAGGCATTCTCCTCCTAATCTAGTCCTAACCTTTTTAAGATTTGATCAAGATGAAAGAACGTTGAGTAATAATACAAAGAAGTTGCAGTGCAGAGCAGTGCAATTTGAGGAATGGCTGTCATCACATTGTTTTTTTTGCATAACATAAGAAACGGATTTTTTAGTAACAAATTCGGCGATAATTATATGAAAGTTCGTTGCTCTCAATGTTCGAGCTTGCACCTTTCCCACTTTTCTGTAATAACATAATGAGTCCGCTGAACGGAAAAGTGGGAAAGGTGCAAGTTCGAACATTGAGAGCAACGAACTTTCTTATAACTATCGCCGAATTTGTCACCTTCATCCCATGCACTCCATCATCTCAGCGGCATTGAAAAAAGACAAATTGCCAACAACCATAAGACGAACAGCGGCTGGTGCCCAAATGCCATCCAACCGGTGGTAAAATGTTTGATATGGAGTTGAATTCGAGAGAGAGATGTGAACCATCAGTCCTGCTCTACACAGAAGATAATGCATACCTCGGCCTCAGCTGCGATCTTCTCCGCTTTTTCCTCCTGGGCGATCTTCTCAAACACTTTAGGCCAGTAATCACCCTCAAAGTATGACATACCGGTCGGTACGCTGACTTGATCTTGAAGTGTGGACTGGTGAATATCCTGAAAGATCAAAAAAGTGAGAAAGGATAAACAACATTAGATTGCCAGTATAACAATAGGGATCAAACGGCTACGGTTTTCACCTTAATGGTTAACTGCTACGCTAACAGTCGATTTATCGGAGTACAACCTATAAGCTAGAGCAGTACGGCGTGTAGCTAGTTTGAACAGTATAGTACAATATCCTTGTTTGAAATGTACTGTGCGAAATTACTACTAATACATGCAAATGTCTGCATGCTCATTCACATAGATTCACAGACCAGAAGCACACTTGTCATAATCCTAGCATAAGGAGGCACAAACACGTACAAAACACAAACACGTACAAAACAACAATCAGATACAGAATGGAGGCAGATCTGGACACTACTGGTGAGTAAAGAACCTGCAATCTGCAGGTGTTGCATGTTGTACAGAAGAAGCTACAGTCATGTGGATTAAAAATTCTGTCGTGTACCTCTATGTACAGTCTACTCTAGAAGAACTAAGAGAACTTGAGACAACAAATACAAACAAAATCTGGAAACACACAGTGGCCAATATGAATATGCAAACTTACGTCACACACTGGGCAATGGAAACGACTTCCAATAATTTCAGCCATGCAGGTATTGCAGCGGTAGCCGATTACATTGACTGGCTTTGCAGCTCGACGAGCATGCACAGTGTAGCGTACTGCGCGTGCCGCAAAGTTGTAAACTCGAGATGATTCTTACGAAAGTACGCAAGAATTGAATCCCGACTCTCCATCACATTGCCGCTTTGCTGCTCGGCCACATCCTCCGGCATGGGTTTAAGGTTGGCAACCTTTTCTGAAGAAATCAGCGTGATGGTGAAGAATGCCTGGCCAAAAGGAACAAGAATAAAGGTACTTTTTTGTTTTTTGTTGCTAATAAAGGTAATGTAAGGAAAATTTGGCAGCAACGAATACAAGAAATCAGCGTAGGCGATAATACCAGCAACACCCAAGGAGCTAGTAAGGCCGTCATCACACTTCATTCTCTGGCTTCCCCTTACGTCTGCGTCCACAGTGAAAAATCCAAAACGGGTAGTCGTGTCATCAAACAGGCACAGTTCTTGACCAGTACACGCGGTCATGTTTTGGAGAAATTTGAAGATTCCCACGTACAAGGTCGCTTTTAAACAGACTGTGGGAGATACACCCTTTTATATAAAAAAAAGGGGCCCACTCCCGCTGGCTACCACGTCTACGTTTCCCGTTTCTTCTGCTCCCGCTTTCACTCCGTACATGGATCATCATGACAACCGACCAAAACTTTATGTGGATGTAGACACAGCGCTTTGTACCGTAGTGTGATGACAGCGTAACAGCTGGGGCATAAACTAAGATACTAGTAGAAGGTTCAACAAGAAATGGTTTCACTGAAAGAGTAACACCCAAAGGCAATAATTTTACAAACTAGTACCATTATGAACTTAGAAGTTGCGACTTCGGCGGTACTAGTGATGAAATTGGTTGCTCCAACGAGGAGCACAAACTTCTTGCCGAACTTGACACACTGTGTATTGAGCAGGCAGTGGTGCTTTCTTTCAGGTTTGCCGAGCGGAAGGTGCTACGTGCTTCTCGTGTGCTCCGGATGGCAATCCTGAGTCACTCAAGTGTCTAGGTCGGCAAGAAGCGTGTGCTCCTCGTTGGAGCAACCAACTTTAGTACCATTATGACACACCAATATACTCTACAAAAAATAAGTCACTTTCAAACATCGAATGTTACGTGCGGAAACTCATTTTAATATTCAGATACAAGGGCATACGTTTTCGATAGCCACCTCGCATAATCAAAGGACGACAGAAAACGTGTCGTAATTTGCAATCACCTGTGTCCCACAGATGAAGCTCTATGTGCTGATGGGCTTACAGTGTGTACGTCGCAAACTTGCCTCACTTATTCCAGGCTTGCCCTGTAAGTAGAGAGAGTATTGCTACAACCTAAACTGTAGGACTGAAACGAACACAATTTCTCAACATTCTTGACTCTAACGAACGAACGAACGAACGAACAAATGTTCTTGATTGATAATTCATGCAAATCGTCAGAGTTCTGACAAGGGCATGAATACCCCGCCTCATCATACAGGCAAAAAAGTATACTTCAGGGAGGAAACCAACGCCATTGACATAAAAACCTTCAGCGACCTTGCTTCGCTCTCCGTTGAGAGCAACATCGCCCCAGAAACGCTGTCAGATGGCTCCGTAAGGTTGCACGCTGATTGTAATAAAACATTTGTGTCGAGCATATTGGGAAAAAAATTTCAGTTCTAATATTCGTTACCTCACAAATGTTCATTCTGCAAAGCTAAATTAACGAATATTTGAATAGTCGAGATACTCATTTCAGCCCTATCCTAAAGCATGTCTCATGCACGGCTTTCCTTTCCCAACGGTGCATGATTTTCCCACAATTGCGTATTTTGACCAAATTATTGATTATACAATTTCCCATGTGGGCCATTTGTGGGTAAAATGGCTAAATAAGGCTTTTGAGAAGAATATCATAACTTGTCAGCTTGATTTTGATTGTGAAGGGCTGCACTAAAACTGATTTCTTGCTCATGATATTCAACTCTGAAGAAACAATCAAGTTAGAAACAAATCTAAAACATGCATTTGAAAACAAACCAGTCGTCGCACACCACGAGACACAGGTATACGCAATGCAAAGAAAGAATGAAACCATGGACCTACACTTTTATCCTTCTCCAGCCGGGTCAGGACACGCGCAGCGAAATCTTTTCTCTTCCGTGCCGGTGCCGGCTTGCTCTTCTTCTTTCGGCCGTGCCGCGGCTGGGAGCATCCCTTCTTGCCCTTCTTCTGCTTGACATCATAGCAATACAGGCACACAACAACAGATCACGGTCATCATACCCCTCACACACCTGGCCAATAAACAAATCCATCCACATGGATCACTGCATTCTCAATCAAATATTGTCTAGTTTTCCTTTCTTTTCCTTTTCACTTATCTCGTTATCAGCCCACTTAATAGTTGTGTATATCACTGTTGAGGCATCCTATGGTAAGAAAAATAAATACTACTACTAGTCGTTGACAAGTGACGCTCTACGGCTTCAGGAAGGCATTGGCTTATGAAATAAAGCTCTCACTACTTGGCGGGGGATTGGCATACGCCAAGCTTTAAGCGAGTGTATGGTTTGTCTTCTTCCCACACTGAGAACACCTAAGGTATCTTCCCAGTTCCAGAGCAGCGTAGCGCCCCTTGCTATGTTATTTACAAGGTATTATTTCAATGGCCAATATTTTAGAATCACTACTGTATCCTTAATGGAAGTATTGATCCTCAGGCATTCTCCTCCTAATCTAGTCCTAACCTTTAAGATTTGATCAAGATGAAAGAACGTTGAGTAATAATACAAAGAAGTTGCAGTGCAGAGCAGTGCAATTTGAGGAATGGCTGTCATCACATTGTTGTTTTGCATAACATAAGAAACGGATTTTTTAGTAACAAATTCGGCGATAATTATATGAAAGTTCGTTGCTCTCAATGTTCGAGCTTGCACCTTTCCCACTTTTCTGTAATAACATAATGAGTCCGATGAACGGAAAAGTGGGAAAGGTGCAAGTTCGAACATTGAGAGCAACGAACTTTCTTATAACTATCGCCGAATTTGTCACCTTCATCCCATGCACTCCATCATCTCAGCGGCATTGAAAAAAGACAAATTGCCAACAACCATAAGACGAACAGCGGCTGGTGCCCAAATGCCATCCAACCGGTGGTAAAATGTTTGATATGGAGTTGAATTCGAGAGAGAGATGTGAACCATCAGTCCTGCTCTACACAGAAG